CAAATGAATGTTTCAAGTTCCATATATTGATTTATACTCTATATTACACACATTTACACACAAGTATGATGCTCATGCAGTGTTTTAACAAAAACTATACAATGTAACACCGAGGGTGTTACAACATCGGCCTATACATTCACTCAAACAAGAATATAGCGACATTCGCAAGAATTTTTGGCACATAACACACTCGCTTTCCATATGCTAAACGATTCTTACGCAGCGTAAGTCAGTGTACCTGCAGAAAATTGATTAGATAAACCAGTGCAGCTATCCTAGATAGACCATATTGTTAGGGCTTATACTTATTTACATAATTTTATCGCATCCTATTTTTCACAAAACTTTTGTTGGTCAAATTTTAGGTTTTGGAAAAGAGTGATGAAACTCATAGACTCATTATTGGCTCTGGTACCAAGCTGTGGCAGAACCGCCCAAAATAACGTTCTTACGGAGGCACTTGTCTTCCACTAGACACTAAGCACCCCGAGAGCGAGCTACATCGGGCGGATTCCGTCGAGCACACCCCAAGGGAAAGCCCGAATAATCCACATTTTTCCCCTCAGGATCCAATAATGAGAACGAGTTTACATTACTTAGTCCATTTTATACATCCAGAGTTCTTAGAAATACATTATTACAAGACCAAATTCAGAGTGCGGAAATTAAACAACGGAATGAAAAGAAACATCTATCGATAAAACACAAGGATCTGTCTATGCCCACCAGAAGAATCCTTCACACAACGGCTACTCCTCAAGCGGTACCTGCAACAGGGGTAAATAACCCTGAGTACACAATGTAGTCGCAAGACTTATCCGACTAGTGGAAATAATTTTCTGACTCCAAGGAATATGATAAGCTTTATGGTTTGCTGGGTTCCTTTTGTAGAAAGCAATACTAATAGTGCATCCTTATGTATGTTTATTTTTAGCAGTCATGATTATTTCATTATCTAGCCATTCTATGTAAGCACATGTTCTACTTTCAAGCAGGAGTTGAGCAAATAGTTCTATTTCCTCACCTTTCATCTTTCAGTTCTTACTATGATGCTAGACTGTAGACAAGTCATACCAGATCACCGGTGATTTACGAATCAATGTGCCCAGCTGGGTACCCCGAGACACACGCCCCGCTTATACCCCAGGCACAAGCAGGACCAACCCACCACTCTCCTGTCACAGGGTCTAGGTCCCCATCCTAACTTGGACTCTAAGCCCCCCGCTCCTGAGTCCAGGACTCAGTACGGTGCTTAGACCTCCACCATCCCCGCCTCCAATTAGTCCGTCTGGAAAGAGCCGGAACCCACGACAAGAGAGCAACAAGCCTTCCCTTCGCCCATACACAAGTATGTGTTCGGGATAATAAGTCTGTGACTTGCCTAGAACCCAATGCAACGGCCGGTCCTTAACCGACACAGACAGGAAAACAGTGTAACCATGCTATGTCCTATTGGCCGCAGGACACAACCTCTTACACCCACCAATACCCGAACCATATCCCTACCCGATCTCCATTTTCCTTTCACCATTTTTATCATGAGTGATACTAATAATCACCTATTGTGAGTAACGGCAGGTTACTCACGCTACCAAAATCCTAAGCATAGCAACTACTCACCTTATGCTAGTAGGACTCATAGGTAGGTATATATATGCATGTAGTTTCCATAAAATGCCTGTAACGTAAATGCACATAATATATATATTCAGTGATCAATCAAAATAAGGGTTATGCACCGAGGCTTGCGTTGGACAGGTAGGGTGTCAACAAAATCAGCAGCTGATGGCTTCGGGGCTCCCTCCTGTATGAGAATCTCCTCCTCGTACTCCTTGCTGATCTCCTTGTACTCCTACTCGCCCGCAGGCACGGACTCTACCAACTCGTTATCTACATGCATGAAATGATGATGCAATACTTAATAATACGGTAACAGTAACTCTTAAAATAAGAATACATCTATCAAGCTACTAAGCTAGCTCTACCGACCAAGACGCTAAGTTACCTATTATGACCACTAAACAGGTATGAAATATTTCATGTATTAACTTAGCAACTAATGGCATCATTATTATTATTATCGATTTAATATATAAACTACAACAAGGAATACTTAGCTACCATATTTCTCAATATATTCCAAGGCTACAAAAATGACAGTGAGTACCTAATAATGTCCTGAGTCTACTGTAAAATTTTCAGAGCTAGCACTTCTACCATTTTATCACGAAAATTCATTTTCTAATTAATCATAATAACAACAAGCATTTTAAAACAAATAAAGTAACCCTAAGGATACCATAGAACTGTATGAACTAAATACACTAAAAGATAGATCATGAATTTAGGAATCTAACAAAATTTACTTCACCATTTTAGGACACTTACATAATTTTATACTAATTATCAAAGATCAATTCATAATTTAATTTCGAAAAGCATTAACTAATTCATTAGAAAAGAAAATGGTGAAATAGCCCGGCGCGGCCCAATATGGCTCATTACGCACGCACATGTTAATGCACAAGACAAGACGACCCTTGGTATGGCCGCCACGCTGGTAGCTTGGCCCAAACACGCTGTGCAATGTTCTCGCGCTACCGTATTTTTTGTGAAAACGACCTTGAGATACCTGTGATTTTCCCCAGGGTTTGTAGCACTATTCTTACGGTCAGCGTTAAAGCAAACTAGCTCTCGGAACAAACCATCTTTACCACAGCCAGGTCCTTAGGCACCGGTGCGGTGGCGACGGCACTGGGCGGTTACGCCGGCCACCCTAGCCCTTCCTCGCCCCCAATAGTGAGCCGATGCTCACCTAGATGCAAACACGAAGTGGTGGGCGGTGAAGCGATGAACGGAGATGCGGTCAAGAACTCCCTCCACGGCGGCGGACAACCTGCGACGACGGCAACCCTGTTCTGTCGAGCTTCACCTCTGGAGAAGAAATACGGTCAGCGGATAAGCATTAGGGTCTCACGCGATCCTACCCAAAATGGTGGTGCGTCCGGAGACTACCCCAGTCGAGCCGGCCACGTGCGCACGCCAAGGCGACGGTGAGCCGAGTAGGCACGGTCGCGTCAGCGCCATGAGGGAAGCAGTCAGGGCGCGGCTAAGGTGCGCACGCCGAGGAGGACTGCGATGCGGCGCTGGGGGTGCAGCCAATTTGGCTCGGGATGACAGGGTGGGTAGTGCCCACGGCAATGGCGGCTTAGCCTTTAATGGCGCAACGGCGGATGTCCGGCTCCAAATTGGAGCTTGCCAATGCGCGATTGGACACGGTGCAGGGTCGGTTGGCAAGCAAGCTCGAAGATGAAGTTGGGTGTGCGCACTGAATTGAATGGACATGACCTATCCATGCCGAATTCATGGCGCGGCCTAGTTGGCCCGGGCAGCAGAGGCGGGAGGGAAGAAGGGGAGGGGTCCGGCTGCTTGTCCAAACTTTGGCGGGACGGCCGCACATGCGCAAGCACTGTGAGCCAACGCAGCCAGGAGGGGGCGTACCTATGTGCGGGTGGTGGTAGCGCAGCAGCGTGGCCGTGGCGCCGTTAATGGTGAAACGACACGCGCATAACCTCGGCAAGCCCACGTGCACGAATTCATGACGATAATGATGTAGAGGCGCAGGCAGACACGACGGCAGCGTGCTGTGGCACGACGGTGACAGCGCGGCACAGCATGGTGACGGGACGGCGGCGCAGCGACACATGCGAACGTGACACAAGTGGTGTGGGCACACGCGGGCGATGCAGCAAGCGCTACCACGGCTAGAAGCAGTGCGACGATACAGCGAGGCAGGCGGCATCGAGCCCGCGCCGATAGCGGCGGAGCAGAGCGGCCAGGCCCACCAGCCCTAGCGTCTCGCCAAGCGCGGCGGTGCACGGCGCGGGAGTGTGCGTGCTCTGCTCGTGCAACACGTTCCTAGGCGCGGCAGCGGTGATGCGGAGCTTGCGTGACGGTGTGCGTGTGTGCGCGCGTTGGGCGAGCCGACGCTACGACGCCTAGTGCCGAGGCACGATGATCGCGCCCAGTCGCTGAAACCGGCCGGAAACGTGCCATGCACGCTTTTTAAAGCGTCCCAAAAATCCAATTCGTTGATTCAAATGCCAAACCACCTTTTCTATATTAAGAGGGCATGTTAGGCTACTAAAACAAGCCCTAAAACCACACCACTCCTTAACCCGATTCTTCTACAAAAATTACCAAACCTCGCTTTGTCAAACCACTTTTCAGACTTACGAAATCGACCAGATAGCTAGTGAATTCATTAATCGACCGCAGGTATTTCATCGTCATCTACGAGGTTTTGTACTTCTAACTTTATTAAAGTTCCGTATATACGTTCTATAGTGTTTTCGTTCAATAAAAATTCGCGAACATCCGTACCTAATAATTTCATACGTCACGAACGACCTTTCGTTGTGCATTTCCGTTGGTCGTTTTAAGTTACGTAAATTAATTTACATACTATATTACATACATTAACACATAAATATGATGGTCATGTAGTGTTTTAGTAAACGATTTATAGCTTAACACCCAGGTTGTTACAGTGCTTTATCGAAAGAGAATTGTTGTGTGACCTATTGACCTGTGTGTGTGTTACAGCGCACCACCACACCACGGCACTCATGTGTCATGTGGGGTGGGCCGGCAGGAGGGCGGGCACCACACTGAGAAAAGAGAGGGAGCGGAAACAGAGTTTTTGTCCCATTGACACATATAGTGTTTACATATAATATATCGGATAGTGTTTTGTCAATCTACTATTACTATATATGACACATCGCTTATGATGATATGAAATTTTGTTTTATCGACCCTTTTTTTAACTAGTTACACTGGGATTGGATTTTCGGTGAAGTTCCGGAACAGTTTTGCACGGATGCCTGAGTGAATTATTAATCGGGGTGTAGGATAGCACTGATGATAACGGCGAGAGCAGCATCGTCCACGAAGAGGCCCGTGTGTGACACGTTGCGCACCTCGAGCATCCTAAACTAAGCTGCAGGACGCCTCCTCGCCAGTAAGCTGCAGGACGCCTCCTCGCCGGCGAGGAGGTTCGCCAGGTTGACCAGCCCATCGCCGTCTCCCATGACCATCTTCGGCGTCACGTGGAAGTCGTCTCCCGGGTAGGCCAGCATCTCCGGCGTGTCCACCCCAACCCCGACGACGCAGGCCACGGGCACCCGCGGAGATGGCAGCTCCCGGAACAGCGGCAGCACGCGGGACTGGTACGGCCCGATGGCCGCGCCCATCCCGATGTCGTCGAGGAAGTCCGCCACGTCGTGGGCCGTGTACGTCCTGCTCCGTGTGGTCACCAGTGTCTGCCCGACTCCACAGGCGTTGGTGTTGGGCAGCGGCCAGAGGCTGCTCCGCAGGCTCCGGTACTCGCCCCTGAGCGCCAGCGGGTCGACGAACGGCAGGCCGAGACTGTTGCCGGCGACGAGCGTCAGCATGCCCAGGACGACGCCTCCCCACGGCGCGGCCACGGGCACGAACCGCCTGACGAAGCGCCTGCGCCACGGCAACGGCTGCCGCAGCAGGAACTGGTGCGCCAGCGTGCCGCCGTAGCTGTGCGCCACGACGGTCACCGGCCTGCCGCCGTTGATCCGGCTCGCCCTCTCCACCAGCCTCTTGAGTCGGCCGAAGATGGCGTCGCCGACCCTCGACGGGTGGCCCGGCGGCGCGACGGCGCGACGGCGTACCGGAAGTCGTAGGGCGCGCCGAACAGGGTCTCCCCGTCGCGGTAGCCGAGCTCCTCCAGCCGCGACACGAACTTGTCCATGTAGGAGAAGTTCCTCCGGTCTGGATCGGGGTAGCGGAAGCCCCGGGTGGATCCGAAGAAAGGGACGCGGGTCTCCACGCCCGGGGCGTTGCGGTAGTCGTCAGAGGCCGCGTCGTACACCGCGGCCATCTGCTCGGCGAAGCAGCGCACGTCGGCGGCGTCCTCGAGCGCCGTGTAGTTGAGGAAGAGGCGGAACCAGCCTTCCCCCTTGCGCGCGCCGCAGCGCGGTGACGACGGGCGGTACAGCTCCGTGAGGCGCGCGTCCAGCTCGTTGGTGGCGTACCCGGGCACCACCACCACGGGCGGCAGCTGCGGAGCGCGCCTCGTCGTGCTCACACATATGGACAGCAGGATCGCTGCCGCGACAGGAACAAGAAGCCATGTTGTCGCCCATCGCAACCGCACTACGGTGCCCATCACCAACGCGTACGTGCTTGAATTTATTTGGAGAGCTACTTACTTTTGCAAATTGTAGCGATCAACGAATTCATATGCACACCGCCTTGATCTACCCTACTAATGCATCATCTTTTCTTTCCTACGTCCACACAAGAAAACGACCTCCCGCTGAGATATCCCCTCTAAATCCACCCTAAAAAGTGTACCTAAGAAAACAACACATTTCAAACGAACCATCCAGATGCACTCTAAGCTTTCTCTCTCCTTACTCATTACACAATCGAGAGCCTGGATTGAGTGTATCAAATCTCCTCATTCTCCCCCACGCCCACGTCATGCAGCCCCCACCGAGTATTACGAACGCCACGCCGCCAAAAATCACAGAACTTCCCGGACACCGGCAGTAGGGGAAGGAAGGCATCTGCCGCTCCACGGTGCGCGTCGCTCAGCGCCGCGGTGGCGACCCACGGTGTGCGTCGCTCAGTGGCCTCCTCTGCGTGTTGTCCGGAGGCACCGGCAGCCGCCATCTCCTCTCCAACACCGGCGTCTTGATCCCTCTGACACTTTCTGCAGTGCATTCGGTCGTCGAGGGGTGGATCTCACAGAGATGAACGACAGGCCCCCTCGCCGGTGGGCGGATCTCGCGAAGCAGTAAACGGGCGGCCTGCCTGGGGGGTGGAGGTTGTGGAGCGGACGCGGTGGCCGGCCAAGTGGGTGGCGGCGCGCGTTGAGCGGCAACCAGCCCTGCCCAGGGCTTCTTCCTCTCTCACTATTTGTCCTCCCCTGAGGTCTGCATGTTAGTCCGCCAACACCGCTCCTCTGATTTCCAATCGTTCACAGATTGATGGGGAACTTCATGGCTTCCTACGACATTAGTGGAAGCTTTGGCATCCAAGACCATAAGTTTCCACGGTATTATCTTGATTTTGCAAGTAATAATCTTTTGATTTACGGTTGTATCAGATTAGGTGACGGTGACCTTTCTCACTACTCAGATCGGAGCATTGATCTTAGAGGGAGGACCTAGTTCCTGGTGAGCACAACACTGTGCAGATGCTTGCTTCAGTAGGTATTCTATTTCTTTTAGCTTGTTTGATTGATTCGTTGGGTTCATGATTAATTGGTCCTATTCTACCTGTCTGGTCTGCCCTTTCTGGTTGGATCACAAAAAATAACATTGTTAAGTAGGTGTCCTTAAGCTTTTCTCTTCATGAACTGTATTTCCACTGCTATGGCGCTATAGTTATTCCCAAAATTTACAATACCCTTCCTCACAAGTGTAAACTTACTCTTAATAATCAGGAAGCTTACAGTTTCTTAAAAGAAAACATGATCTAATACCTGTATATTAAATCATACCAGGGTTGTTATGATCCATTGTCATATCCTTTATATAATCCTGGAGGACAGACTGGTTGGAACAAATTTATGCCCTATACTGACGCACCTATCATCCCTGCTATTACTCCACGTGGCACAATGGCGGACACATCAACTTCTGTGCAAACATTAGAACATGACCCCACAGGTTTAGACAAATCCTTATATTAATTGAAATTTATATCTAACTAACTCATGTGCTACAGAGTTTCCCTAATAATTTTTCTTGCTACATAGATGATGCTGAAAATGTCGCTGACATACAACAAGGTGAAAACTTGGGTAGCCTGATGGAGGAAAATCAATCTGGAAAATATGTCACTGCTCGAGAATACTATTGTTTCTTAATGCAAGTTCGGCGGGGTCTTTTTAACATCCTGTTGTTTGGAGGACGACTATTCCAACAGTGGGCTGTTGACATGTATATAAAGATTGAGTCTATGAGGCTTGATTGGTATGCTAACCCAGCAAACCAGAAACTCATACGGGCGGAACTATATCAGGTGAGGCAAATGTTTTCTTTGTAAAATATGTCGTACACTACAACTAAAAAATGACTTTTTTATTATTATAATTATAAAAGTCGATCATTGATAATTATGTTCACGTAGGGTCTGGTTGTCAAAGTAATGATCTGGATGCACATTTTATTTATTATTGGTTCATGAACCTTAAGAACAATCAAATGAACAAGAGCTAATCATTTCCAAAAGAGCTGGCTTTGGGCTTGCTATGTCATATTCTAAAAATCTAGACTTGATTCAGAAAAATAGAATAGTTAGATTTTGCGAAGCCATTTTATACATATGTAAAGTGTTCTCTAATTCTTTCTTATTAATAATATAGTGCAATCTGCAGGCACCGTCTTTTTTTTTGCGCTGATCCGAAGCCACTGTCAGCCAAAAACAGGTATCATTTACTTACATCTTTTATTTACACATTTCGTCAACCTGCAATTAACATCTCTATTTTTGCCACTGATCCCAAGCCTCAGCCGGCAAAGGAACAGACTTAAGTTCATAAGAACCGGTGTTCTACTGTCCAAGAGCAAAACTAATATTTTCTTTCTATTAGCTCAGCCCCACAGATACAACTACCACCTTCTTTGTCAACGATAACTGAACAAGGACAAATCTCAGTTCAAGAAACAATGCTTAGTTGCTTACTCATGTTTCACATTCAAGTCTCCCTACTGTTGTTGCACCTACAAAGGTAACTGCTCGTATTTGTTTAGTTAATTTTTTGGTGTGTATAAAGAGATCTTGTAAATGATTGCCAAATCAAGCACAAACACCCTCGCCCCTCAAGTATGTTGTTCTCATTATCTTCATACTTCCTGTAAAACTGCTATCATGTCATGGAAATTGTAGTGTTCTAGCTAATAATGAATCCAAAATATATATTCTTCAAATCCAAAATAGACACTTGGTAAGGATAAACACAAACTTTCTTTTAGTGTACTTTGCTTTATACAACATTTTAGTACTATACGGAAATTTATTAGCTAACCACTGCAATTTAATGTGGGCGCTATGCTATTATAATGATGTTTTACACCATATTTTTGAGCTTATTCCTATGGAAGTCCATGATTGGAAAAACTGTACGAAGTCTTTAAAAAAACAGATTTGAAGTCTGGTATGGGGACGTGAGAAGTAGGAGAGAAATAGGAAGATGTTGTAAGGAGACGGACTCTGATGATGGTAACGCAAGCTGAACATACATGATTCGATCAAAGCTCAGCGAGTTGTTTGGTGTGGGATATGGAGATGTTAGCTCTTAACTTTACAAATGTTTATGTACTTCATACCACTTGAGTTTTTAATGTCATGTAGCCTATTGTATAGCAGCTTTAGAGCTTTGGAGTATGAGTCAAAATGACGAGGAATGAAATTATGTTCGTTACAATAGAATACGATGATATTGTAATCTTATTATAGACACACATTCTCTTTTTTTATAAACTTTTGAAAAATGTGATTTTATAAATAATAAAAAAAATATTTGATTTAAAATTATGTGTAATGTGTTACCGTGTAAAACCAAAAAGGCGTGAGTGCCAAAGGTCAACATGTTCTATTTAAAGCTCCAAGGAATGAAAAGAAAAATACAAATTGTTTTTTTGTGTGTGTCAAAAATCACTTATTTTCAATTACTACTCCCAAGCAAGAAGCATCTCTATTGTCTTTGTTTGCAGATATACTCCGACGATCTGTAGAATTTGGTGTGGTCACCGGTGGTTGTGTGTGGTATGATGCCCCATCAGATCCTGTGAAGCTTCTGACGCAGGACACAAGAGCACTCATGAATTTTCTTTTTTCCCGCTTGGAGACTTGGTTTACAGACTAAATCCCTGAATTGGAGGTTGCAGCATGACTACTGCAATTATATTGAACTATGGAAAAAAACATTTGTTGTTTTCATGTGCGTCTCTAAGATAAATACATTGCGTTAGCACGGACATTATACTAGAGAATAAACTTTGTTCCAGCCGGCAAACAACGAGATACAAGAATCTGATGACGAAGGAGGTGGGTTGCTTTTTAATGACACAAACATGACTGCATAAGAGTTAGCTTTTAACATACCACGTGCTGCCCATGCAACAGATTCCCGGGAAGACATGGAACATCAGAGCGATGACGACGAAGCTAGGCAATTCCATAGGGAAGGTATCGCCTCACGTCGACCTATGTGCATGTCATGGAGTTCCAAAAAAGGGGTTTGCCGCATGAGCATATCCTGTTAATTATGAAATCAGCAACTAGGGGGGGTGTGCGTTAAGGAGCAGTTCTTCGTGGTTGGGGACCTGGTCCTGAAGTGGAAGACGAATCAGGCTGGTGTCCTCAAACTCGCAACCCCATGGAAAGGACCCTTCATGATCAAGGAGGTCACACGCCCTACGTCTTACAGGTCAGCTCGCCTAGATGGCACAGACGTACCCAATTCCCGGCACATCGACAAGCTTAGACGTTTCTATGCTTAGCTTAGCTACTAATATATGTACCTCTCTTGTACTTTTAATTTATTTCAATAAAACTATTATGATTTCTCCGACCACTCTAATGTGTCACTTCGAAGTCTATTGTTATTCTAACTCTACCAGTTAAAACCGACCACCATTCTCGGGTTTTCAGAGTAGGCCGACCTCGGCTGGACATGTCCGAGGGCTTTTGCCTCCCCATGCGATGGAGCTAGGTACATGCCCTCCGACCACCGAACTGATCGAGCAGCCACGTTGACCACGTCCCGAGCGGCTCCGCCGAGCTCCGACCACGTTGACCACGGACCATGTCGACCACGTCTCGAGCGGCTCCGCCGAGCTCCGACCACATCGAGCACGGACCACGTCGACCATGTCCCGAGTGGCTCGTCTGAGCTCCGACCACCTCGACCATCAGACCACGTCGCAATGATAATTGCCACGAAGAACGACGCTATGACAACCGCGACCACCTTCACAACAGGCCGAAAAGCACGAGGACCGAACAACTTTATCGCCATCGACTAGATTTCTATCCAAAGATAAGTATACTTCTAATATTTATATTTAATATAATTTTCATTATGACGTTTCTCCACAACGTCATTGTCATGATTATTCTTCAAATAACGTTTGTCTATGTATACCATCTTAA